GCATCTTTCCCATGTGTTTTTAATAAAGATCTGTTGGAAAATATTTAAGTGATTATTCGATATAATATAATATATATATATATATATATATATATATATATATATATATATATATATATATATATATATATATATATATATATATATATATATAAGCATAGGCAGAATATGGTTGTGCGTCTTGAATGTTGAAAATGAATTGTCCAAACTGTGGTTGGTTAGGAAGATAATTACTAGAGAGGGAGACTAATTAATGAGCTGTTATTTTTTTTTTTTTTATTTTTTGTTAATTGCAACCAACTATACAGATGCACTGGATAAACCTACACTCTCGTATAATAGCTTGTAAATCATACGAGAGATTTAAGCCACATTAGACTAACCATTGTGTGATAAACTCGACCTAGCAATCGTTGGCAAGGAGATTCGAACCTGGGTTAATCGACACAAGCTCATTTGCTCCAACCGCGCGTTAAAATGGTCTATCACTTCCATCGACATTTAGATTCTATTGGATTTGTGAAAAAGGAACTAATTTCAAACGATGATAATTAAAAAAAAAAATAGACATTATTTATTTCTTGAAGAACAATTAATGTTCATCAAACAATCGAAAACACGTGAGAATTCGAAGAGTCATCGATCAAACAATGTGACCATTTGCTTACAACCGTTAGAAGAAAAAAAAGACCGTAAAAACCGAGTATGTAAAAATGACAGAAGCATGTGTGTCCTCTCTTGGGATATAGATATATATTGATACATAAATATATTTCTAGAATCTAAATATTATTTTTTCACGATCAAATTAATCAGCGTTCGAGATAGGCTTAAAGCCGTATTTCATTGCAGCCTCCCACACCGGATCGATTCTCTCGACATCTATGGCCCCGACTTCATGGTGAGTCCATCCTTCCAATGAATGCACCACTCCACCTGCATGGCATGCATGGACCACTCCTCTCTCCATTGTGTACTGCAATTATTTATAATTTAAAAAAAAAAGAAAAAGAAAAAAAAAAGACGCCTTATTTTTCAAATCCGATCGTTGATTCTATTGGCCGTCTATTGTTATCGTACCTATCTGAGATGATGACATGTATATATTTGTATATATATTGTAACTATAGATTCTTGATAGTGTATAGACACATTTTGTTTGTTTTCGACTAATTATGATGTTAGAAGGGTATTTGAGTAAATTAAAGAAAAAAACGGGGGCTTACTTCGCAAACGCCTAGGCCTTGAACATCTTCCGGTAGCCTCATTGCAGCAAGATCACCGTAAGTACAGTCCCTTCTGAATTGGAATACGGGCGGTACCACAAATTGATGAAAATGTGCGCCCGGCGGTGCGAATTTTTGCTCTCTTGGTGTTATCCATTTTCCTACTATCCATGTCTACAAATATAAATATAAATTCAATAAATTGAATACTTGAATTGACATATATGATATTCGAGTGCTCCTAATTTTTCGTGAAAATTGGCGCAAATTTACGAAGAAACTTCAAAATGCAGCAACGTCGGTAATATAAGAAAATTATTAATACGATTACCTTACAATTCTGTGCCGCTTGGTACTTTGTCACCTGGACAAGATTATTCTGAAATTCGGCCGGTGCTTCTATCTGAATATTTTTGAATCTTTCCGCCGATAGAGTTAGCATCTGCACGAACAATATTGCATAATATATTTCAATTACTAATAATTGCTGGTGTACCGTATTTCTTTTTACAGTAGAACCTCGATAAATTAATAACCTCGATTAAATAATAGTTTCTTTCGGTCCTGACTAGGTGAAAACGTATTAAATTATTAACTTGATAATTTAATAATTTGCTAAATTAATAGAATTTCCCTAGTCCCGACTGTATAAATTGATAGAGGTTTAACTGTATTTTATATATAAAATAAATTACCAAAACTCGGACTCCTTTTCTGCAAAGATAAAGGGCGATAGCTCTTCCAAGTTTGGAAGTGGCTCCGGTTAAAGATACTTCGGTTACATCCTAGGTAAAGTCGTTTAGAATCACGGCTGCTGTCAAAGTATTTCCATGCACAACTCGGACTTTGAGATTCGGATGTTTGTTAACAAAGAGCGTCCCTCCTCCGTTTAGAGCCTCGTTCTAGACAATACAAATCAATACATACAAAGTTATATACATATCTTTTGTCTGAATTCTTGAAAAACGAGAGAGATAGAGAGAGAAACGGTGATTGGTCGATCGAAAAAAGTAATAACCTTATTAAGAGCAGCAAGGCTAATAACTTTAACTCCCATTCTGTCAGCTCTAAGAATAGCCTCTTCTATCTGCTTATTGATTCCTTCTGCAGCAAATGGCAAGAAATACTGCACAAAGATTTAATCGCATTTTGCACGTTACCCCCCAGACTAAAAAAAGTTGCAAAATCAAGAAAAATTGCCATTTTTGGGGAGGGGCAAAATCGTCAACTCACCTCACTTTTCACCAAACAAAATAAAAAAATAAAATTTACGATAATAAACGGTTAAAAGTATATATATATATATACCTGAAAACCGAAGCGGGGAACGAGCCACGTTTGGTGGAGGAGGCCCCTAAGGTTGTAGAAGGATAATAAGAAAGTCTTCGATTTAGCCCACATGATAAGCATGACGATAAAAGATATCGGCAAGAACGGTAGCATGTAAATTCTTGTGTAGTAAGGCATCGACGACATCGAACGGTTGATAAAAGGACCGTGCATGGCCGACGACATGTCCACTACATGCGCTAGGAACACGAAATCCGGTACCCTCCCGTTTTTATCTGCATTTTTTTTTTCAAGAAACTATAATCGATCCAATTTTTTTTAAAAGTCAACTAATTAACCGTAGATCTTTGCGTAGATTTTTTTTTGTTACCTGAAGCTAAGCTGTTTTTTCTGTGCATGTCCCATGATTTTTCGTTCAATGTATTTCCTAATGCATCGAAAAGCGGCATGAAAAGGCAATAATTCGTGTTCGTTTCAGCGTGATGGAGGTTATGGTACCTGCGAGTCGATATACGTATACGAATATATGTGTATATATCAGAAGCAATGATAAATTGTAAAGCCTCGTTTCGTTAAATCTCATGGTGTCCTGATTTAGTATCTATTATAACATGTTTATTTGCCCTCCTAATGGTGAAAACACGATTAAGTTACACCTCGATAAATTAATACAGTTGAGACTATCAAAATTTCTATTAATTTAGCGAAATATTAAATTATTGAATTAATAATTTAAAACATTGTCACCGAGTCGGGACCTGAAGGCATTATTAATTAAGCGAAGTTATTAATTTATCAAGTATTAATTTATCAAGGTTCTAGAGGTTCTATTGTATATAGATATAAAACTACATGTCAGCTTAATCAAAAGTACATGAAATATCTATTATATGTATCAATATATTAATCAAGGGAAAATTACGGCCATCCCCTAAGGTAAAGTCAAATTAAGAAAACCTCTCTCTTATTTGGATAATTACAACCACACATCAACTATGAATCTTCTTACACGTCCACCCTTATGGTCTTAAATTCTACATAACCTTCTAGATTCCGTGAATGTTCTCTAATTTGTCCTCGTTTTGTACAAACATGCAGTTTCTCATGCATGCACCACAATCTGATATTTACAAGTCAAGAGGCACATCTATGATCATCTTGTTTCAAAATGTAGAGCTCGAGTGGGGGTAAAACGCGGTACAAACTGAAAAATATTCCACATAACCTAGACGACTCCACTAAATTTGACAGTGCAATGGTGGATGCGTAAAAAGATTCATAGTTAAGAGGGTGGCTGTAATTACTCAAACATGAGGGATTTTTTTGAATTTTGACCTTACCGCAGGGGAATGGCCGTAATTTACCCAATAAAACAATTTTAAACATGTTTCGAAAAGAATTTTTTTTTACTTACGTAGGAGTGTAAAGTATATATTTCAGAAACGGGATCGCATCGAATACTTGATGGGGAATGATTTCCACATTTGAGTGGCCTAAGCATCTCAGAAAATCGAACACCAAAACATAGCCGTAGATCAAGCTTATCGATCCACGGCCAATAATAAACGTGCCAACTATCGGCACTCCAACAACCACAGTCAACAAAAGATGTTCCAAGAATGTACCATGTCCAGCTACAAAAAAAAGGGTAGTTAGAAAATTAAATGATTTTCCGATGTGCTAAAATTACTAAAATGCCCTTATCTAATTAACTAATTACCTGTATAGGGCTGCGGCACCGGCGAAGAGTGGTGGAGAAAATGGTAATTTTCGAAAAGATATTTTCCGTGGAAGCATTTGTGTATGCTGTAGAAAAGAGGCTCCGATATTGCAACATGAAGTGCTAATGCTGCTGCGAAACCGTTTTTGTTCCACAGAGGTTCTTTTTCGAGTGTCCGAAAAACGTTCAACACTAACGCAGCTACTATAGCTTGTAGTAAAATAAAATTATCCCTGATTAAATGAAAAAAAAAATTAATTTTTTTTAATAAATTTAATAAACAAAATCTAGACATAATTTAGAAAAATAAAAATAAAAAAATTTAATTACCAATGCCATTCTTTGTCAATCTGTTTAAAATCGACGCCTTTCTTGACAATAATGCGATTCCGATTAAGGAAGAGCATATTGCTGTAAGAAGTCCATAATTGGTACACAAAAAGTCTAAGCATACATATGATGAATATATGAAGGCACCAGCTTTCTTTCATTGATTCTTGTTGATAATATATTGAGTACATTGCTTTGCCAAGAAAAACCCCATAAATAACAATCTGCATACATAATTTAAATTAATAAATAAATAAATTTAAAAAAGAAATTGCAACTTAATTATTATGTGATTTCTTGTCCAAAATAAGACAGTATACTATGAACATATACTTGTAATTTACCTTGCTACTACCCATGAATTCCCATGGCCAAGCAAACAAAGGTGCAGCCATATGTGTGTGTGTGTGCGCGCGCGTGTGTGTGTATATGTATATGTATATTGTTTACAATTAGGATTTAAAACACAAAATGTGAATTTCTGGAGAAAGAATGAGATGTATATATATATATACTGAATATTTGGAGAAAGAAGAATTTATTTTATTTTATTTTATATATTATTTTTGGCTACTAGTGAAGAGAGAGAAAGTATGTAGTAGTGGAAATGCTATTTCTTCTTTCTTCTTCTTGGAGTTGTATTTATGAAGGCTGCAATGAAACGAGGCATTTATTCCCACAGCAATTGCACAGATGGAAGGTAACAATAATACGAACAATTTATTGTACTTAGAGGATCTTAATTTAATTTAATTAATTAATTAATTTGTTTTCAACTATTGCAAATTGGCATTAATTCATAATTTAACTAATGGAGTTTGTGTTTAATAGTAACTGGCAGCCGTATCCAACCCTACTACTTAGTACTAGTGTATACATGTAGTTAGGGATGGAAATTGGAATGGAAATTCCGAATTCCGCCAATCCCGATCAAAAAATATTCGAATTTGGAACCCGTTTTTTCATTCCGATTTTCGATATTCCGATTTCTGATTTTTCCAATTATTTTTGGAACGGAATTGGAATTACATATAAAATTATTGGAAATTCCGATTTCCAATCCGATTTTATTTCCGAAATATATAATGTATGATATATATAATATGTTATATAAAAAAATATAAATGTTATGCATTGTTATATATATATATATATATATATATATATATATATATATATATATATATATATATATATATATATATATATATATATATATATATATATATATATATATATATATGTGTGTGTGTGTGTGTGTGTGTGTGTTGTATTTCTGAATTGTTTTTCTATTCATGTTTTGCAAGAACTATGTTTGCTTTCCATAAGCTGATTATGTGTTTTTTTACAAGTGTTTACATTTCGTCTTATTGACCTCTGTTTTAGATTCTTGCATTTTTTTGAAAAATTACGAAAACATTAGGAAATAAAATCTTAAAATTACCATTATTTCCGATTTTGGAACAAAAAATTAAGACTTAATGTAATTTCCGAAAATTCCGAAATTCCGCCGATTTCGAGGTATTCCGAAATTGGAATGGATTTTGAAATTCCGATTTTTTTGGAATAGAAATTGGAACCTATTTTTAACTTCCGAAAAAAAATGGAAAATTTCCGAAAAAGGTATTTCCGTTCCATTCCGTCCGACTTCCACCCCTACATGTAGTTAATTATTATTCCGGCTAATATACCCACTAATCAGTGGCGGAACCAGCATACAGGAGGGGCCATGACCCCCTAATATTTTTCGAATCACTATTAATTTATATAAAAATATTTTTTTTTTGGTACAATAGCATTAATCGTCTCCCCTCAGAAATCGTCTAATGCATTTGATTCACGGGACTTAAAATCCCGGCTCCACTACTACCACTAACTTACTGTTTATTTAGTTAGATATTTGATTTCATTATCTAAATTAAATATAATGGTCCCAATTTTCCAATGTTTTTTATTTGTGATTTGGTAGATTGGGTCCGCAAGGGGTGTAGTGTTAAATTTTGCTGGCCTAAAAATTCTATAGTAACTTGGAGGAAAATAAGGATCTATATATTTTAAGACATTGATATCTAAATAGTTATTCCCATTAATTATTATATGTAGACATCGAAATTTTGAAATAAATCCTCAATTAATAACCTAAATAATAGGCTATTAATTTGGTTCTCTAATTAAAAGTTCGATAAATTTGGGCTTTACAAATATTTCGGTGCGTGCCGTAAGTCAAGAAATCCTAATTTGTGCCAAGAAACCCTAGCTTGTGGCTGTAAAAAAAAAAAAGGCTTCGGTGCATGGAAAAATACAGACTCACATAGACACATATCGAGCTCTCAAGCTCACATCTCGAGCCTCCACCTCGAAATCATAACATATTTGACTTTGAGGTGATCATATTTATTCAATTCAAGAAGAAGCTTCTAAGCCCTTGAATCGGTTTAGGAGAGAAGAATCAGCGCAATTTCCCGGAAATTGTGATCCACTTTCGTTTTGATTGATAAATTGTATTTGTTACTATTTTCTTTCTTGTCTTGTAATTAAATTTTACAGATTTGAAAAATTTGCGGTTTACAGTATATATGTACACGATCTAATAGCAAATTCGGTTGCTGTACGTAGTTTGTACGGCAGTTTATTCGAATCTACATATGTTGACCGTCTCCAAGTGTAATTTAATTGTACATGTGTATTGTCAACTACGTATTCACTTTTACAAACACCATGTATATATATGAGTGATTGTATATATGTAGATCTATATGCTGTAAATTTACATGTGTATTTCGAGCAGGGGCGGTACATGCAAGGGGCAGGGGGGCTGTTGACCCCCAAGAAAAAAAAAAAAAAAATTAGGTATTTGGTATTGTATTTTTTGAATATTACTTTTGGCCTCTCCAAAGTTTTTGTAAATATGTGTCTTAGTCCATTATTTTTTTTGTTTCTTTTTCATAATCTTATATAAATTATAGATAAATATATCATATTTAATATAAAATATAAAATAAGATGCTTAAAACTTGTATTATTTTAAATAAAATTTATGAATATTACTTATTTTTGAATTTTTTTTATCAATGCCTTGAGATCGTGCCATGAATCCCCGAAATATTAAATGCAATACATTATTAGAATAATTTAAATGTAGAGAATATTGAGAATATTATATTATAGAACTCTTGTAATATTAGGATTCTAGTATGATTCGGTTACCTAGATTAGTTAGGATTTAGTTACCTAGTCAAACTCTATTACCTTGCAATATTTCTCTATATATATTACATGTAATCAACCCATAACACAATGGGGGTTTCTATTCTATTACGTATTATTATTTCATATTCTATTCTTCCTATATGGTATCAGAGCACCAGGTTTAGGTTTTTTTTAACCTAGCCGCCTTCCTTCTCCATGGCGGTGATAACCTAGCCGCCTTTCTTCTCCATGGCGGTGACCACCCAATTTTCTCCCTCCCCCGGTGGTGGTATTCTTAATATCTTTCTTTTTTTTCTTTCTTTCTATGAACACCACCCGATTTTTCTTCTCCCTCCCCCGGTGGTGCATCTTCTCTATCTCTTCTTTTTCTTCTTATTCATCTTTTCTTCTCCATGGTCTAAGACCTAACCGCCGCCTCTTCTCTTCTCCATGGCCGGCGAACACCACTCATCTTCTTCCCACCTCTCTCATCTCTTCTCCCCCTCTCTCATATCTTCTCTCTCTCGACAAACAAAAAAAAAAAAAAAAAAAAAAAAGACTCTCCATGTTATTTTCTTCGTTCTATTAATTTGGCAGGTATTTTCACCAATGATTTCACTACTGCTGGATTTCGTGGGTTTTCTGTCCAGTCTTCACTTTTTGAAGTTTATTCGTTCCGACTGCGGGAGCGTGCTAGCAAGTGAATGTCCAGTCTTCACGTTCGTCACGTTTCGACTGCGGGGGCGTGTAGAGAATATTGAGAATATTATATTATAGAACTCTTGTAATATTAGGATTCTAGTATGATTCGGTTACCTAGATTAGTTAGGATTTAGTTACCTAGTCAAACTCTATTACCTTGCAATATTTCTCTATATATATTACATGTAATCAACCCATAACACAATGGGGGTTTCTATTCTATTACGTATTATTATTTCATATTCTATTCTTCCTATATTAAATTAGTTTAGAATTTTGTGTGATGATTAAAATATGATATAATTATAATATATATGATATTTTAATTAAAAATTAGTAATATAAACTTATTTTTATAATGTTTTGTGAACCTAATTTTTTTTTCGGGGCGCTGCCCCGAACCCCAAAAATTTAGTTAGCCCCTCTACATTTTCATCGTGGTTCCGCCCCTGATTTCGAGTGACTGTATTTCGACGCGGAATAAAATTAAATTAAGTGTGCATCTACTAACTTACAAGAAGGGGGGCCCTAATATAAAGATGCATGTTATTGAGCTGGATTGAAGAGTTGTAGTTGATAATGCATTAAATTCCCCCAACAATATATATAGGCCAGCAGTAGTAGTGAATAGTGATTCCTAAAAACTTTTAATTATTATTAGACCTCATTCCAGTTTCCACATTCTGGATTTGCAGTTCACATTTAGAGTAGTGGAAACAAAATTTTCGAAATTCCGTAGATTTCGACTCAAGTGATTCTGATTTTGAAATAATATTTTTCAGTATGCATTCCGATTTCTGATTTTTTCGAACTTTTATTCAACGAAAATAGAATAAATATATTATATTTCAATTTCCGTTCCATTTTTTTTAATTTTCGTAACATTCGATTTTTTTTCTCCCGGAAACTACATTTATAAAATATTATAATGCATTTTAATGTTTTAGGTGACCAAAATTTGGAATTTTGAACTCCGCCGATTCCTAGTCCGAACATTTCCAACTTCGGAACAAGTTTTTACTTATTCCAATCCCGATTTAAGATTTTTTTTTTCGAATTCTTTTGGAACAAAATTGGAGATAGTTTTTCACTTCTCGAAAAACAAAATGAATTTTATTTCCAGAAAGTGATACTTCCAATCTGATCCGTCTGATTTCCTCCCCTAGCCCTACCTCGGCTACTGCACCCACCTTTTATATTATTATTATATTTTTTGGGGCAAATTACGGTCACCCCCTGAGTGATGGTCAAATTATGAAAACTCCCTCATGTTCGGATAATTACAGCCACCCCCCCTCGTGCCTCAACTATGTATTATCTTACAAAAATACCCCTGCAGAGATAAATTTAGGGATGCTAAATCGATAAAACCGAAACGAAATTTCGGTACGTCAACATTTCATACCGTTTACCGAACTGAATATACGATTTGGTTCGGTAAATAACCAAATTACATAAACTTTATGTAAAAATATTTAAAAGGAGGGAGGTGGCAGTAATTACCAAAACAAAAAGGGGTTTTTTCGTAGTTTGGTCATCTCCCGGGGGCCGTAATTTGCCCTATTTTTTTATTGCGCCAAATGCATACTCTTGGTTGATGCATGAAGATTGGAAATTGGCA